GCTTTTAACTGGTGACATGAATCTCGTGATCTCATAGCAGCTATATGGGATGGTCTGGCAAGCGCACTGGAGGCCAGGAGCAGTGATTAAAAATGTTTTTGACCTGTTTGAGAATTGACCTCCAAGAATATAACTGAATCGTAGAATCACAGAATGGATTCTTGCCATGTCCTTGCCACGGCCAGGGACACCCAGGGTGCTCAAAGCCGTATCCAGCCTGGCCTCGGACACTTCCAAGAATGGGCCATCTTCGACTTCTCTGGGCAACCTGTTGCAGCGCCTTTCCACCCTCACAGTGCAGAATTTCCTCCTCACTGCCTGTGACCCACAGCTCCGCCGCAGCCGCAGCACTGCCGGGGCCGGGGCGGGAGGGAACGGGGCGGGGAGGCGGGGCCGGACTGCGCTCCCAGAGCGCCGCGCGCGGCCGGAAGTGGCGTTGGCTGTGACGAGAGTTCCGCTGGGCTCCTGTGGCGGCGGCGCTGCTTCTGTGGAGGGGGCGGCGGGTCCCGGCGGCACCGGCACCATGGTGAGCGGGGCGGCGGCGCCTTGGCCGGGGGAAGGGGGTAAAGGCAGGGCCGGGCGGGGCGCCGGCGGCCGCGCTCCCCGCGGGCGCGCGTGTGGGGCCTGGAGGCCGCACCCTTCCCTTCCCACGCGGCGCCCGCGGGGGGCGCAGAAGGTTCTGGAGCCGGGGCGGGATCGGGCCCCACCGGGAGCACTTCCCGACTCCCCTAGGAGCGTGGATGCGATTGTTCATTTGGTGTTTGATCCTTTTGCATTTAAGGCCTTGGGTGCTTTGCAAGTGTTAGTCCTTAAAGGCACATGTTCGTCACTGCTATAATTAATTTTCATTGAAATGTAAAAAAAAAAAAAAAAAGGAAGATAAAAGTTCCGCCCAGATGTCAAAATACTAAAACCTTACTGTGCTCAGCTAATGTGTTTTTTCGGTTCTGCTGGTTGTGCCAGCCTTTGGGCTGGTGGGGTCTGATGGTTGTTCGGGTGGATGTCGGATGTTGGAGTGAGGTGCTGGTGATGAGTCTTTCGGTCTCGGGGGTCCCATCAGCGAATGTGCACTGCAGCCTCTGGGAGCAGGTTGCACTCGGTCTTGTAATCCTTTCATACGACTACAAGATTGCAAGACAGACTTTTAAGAAAGAGTCAAGGTGAATTTATCTTAAATATACTTTTTATCAAAACCAAATAGGGTATAGAAGTAATTTTAGTATTAAAACCATTGCTTAGGTTGTTAGTGTAAAGGATTTGTTTTTAAAATGTGTAGTTTTGTTAAAGTTAGAGGAATATTCTTGTGTTAACTGTGTTTTAGGCATCCATTTCTCTTGCTCCAGTGAACATTTTCAAGGCAGGTGCAGATGAAGAGAAGGCAGAAACAGCTCGGTTGGTAAGTTTAATTCTTTTAACAAACTGGTAGTACTTGAGATAATTAAACTTTGTCTTTTCTATTGCTAAAAATACTTTCTGTGTATGATGATGCGGAACTTCTTGTCTGTCTTTCCTTGTTATGTTTGTGAACAGAAGGGAGGAGGAGTGTTGTTTATACTGACAATTAGATAAACTTCATTGTTCAAAAATTTAAATAATTCGGTACTGTAGCTCAGAACATTGGTGTTTTATTGGAAGGCATTTCTTCTGGCTTTGAGGCAGGCTTTTTTGGTTTCTGTGAGAATTAAGTGTATTTAATATGTATGTCAAAATGTAGCAGCTAAGAAACTTGGGCCCAGCCTCCACTGAGAGAAGTGTGGCTATGGAAAGGTTGCATTAAAATGTCTTCTTGAAAGCTACGGGAGAGTGTATAATTCTTGTGTGAGAGTAGAAATAAATTGTTCCTTAAGGTATATTTATTTTTATTTCAGTCATCCTTTGTTGGTGCCATTGCCATCGGTGACCTAGTCAAGAGCACCCTGGGGCCTAAAGGCATGGTAAGGCAGCTGCAAGCTCTCAGTAGTCATACCTTTTAATTTAGCTTTAATGGTTACAGTACATTTTCAACCAGTATTCTAAAACTTGCATCTCGTAGGACAAGATTCTTTTAAGTACTGGGAGAGATAGCTCTGTGACAGTTACCAATGATGGTGCAACCATCCTGAAAGCTATTGGAGTTGACAACCCAGCTGCCAAGGTCTTGGTTGGTGAGTTCTTAAAGGCATGATATTGCTTCATTTGTAACTTTATTATGCAGTTTTTATTTGTTCTTAGAAAATTATTCTTGAAATACTGTGAAAAATGGAAGGGGGGGGAGCAGAAATCCTGAAGCAAGGAGTGCAAGGTGCTGCAAGAGTTGCAGAACTCCGCAAAAGTAAGATTAAGGTATATGCTGCTCTTCAAAACTGTTCTGGGATATTGTTTTCCCTCAACCCTAGTTCGTCCCAGGAGTCAGAAGGAACAAAAGACAGCTGTGTACCCTTCTTTTTTCACTGGGAAAATTTGGAACAGAAATCTACAGGGGAACAGAGGTTCTCTCTGGTTCTCCCTAATTTAAATCTCTCTTTATAACTCAATGAACATTGTAGTCTGGACAGAGTTTACCTTTGTGATCAACTGTTTTTCTGTGCCAGTGGTCCAGTTCTGGTGATGAGCAGGGACCTGAATGATTGGGTGTTAAATTTCTTAATGATTTCATGTTTGCTGGGTCCCAGTTTATCAGCAGTTCGTGTAGCATACTTGGTTATTATAGTCTCTGATGCTGTATGTATACCTTAGAGCTTCTGTCTGGCCATACTTCCTTTTGGTGACCATCTTCAGGACTGGGGACAGGGGGGAGTAGCTCTTGACCATCACCAGGCTGGAACTGGAGCATGGATTTAAAGGATACTGAATTTGATTTGCATCTTATGTTCTGTGACTTTTTTAGACTTCCCTCTTTAAACAAATAGTAAGATCTGTTTTTCTTTTCCAAACTGGTATGAGAGAAAAATAATTGTATCTGATACTGGTGAGCCTGGTATTTTGAGTCAGAACATTAATACCATGTCTTCCTTCTTCAGATATGTCAAAGGTTCAAGATGATGAAGTTGGCGATGGAACTACATCTGTCACAGTGTTGGCAGCTGAACTACTGAGGGTGATGTATTACAGTTTTTCTAATGTGTTTCTGTTTGGCAGTGTACTCCTGTGATACCACCAGTAGGAGGTGTGTTATCCTATGTTTGTGAAGAGGGCTCCCAGGATATGGAAGGAATAGCTTACTCTGTTGCTATTGAAATTGATAGGGGAAGAAAACAATCCTTAGCTATTGTATTAGCAATTTTTTTATTGTTTTAGACTATTGTTCCTTGTTTATAAACTCTCAAGTATTTTAAGTTGGTACATCTTAGAAAATTGTCTTCTATTATGTCATTATGTAAGTGAAACAGAGAAGCATTACTCTTGTAGGTCAGATAGCTCTCTTGCAGGTTCTTACAGCTCTCTGGCTTTTACTGCTATTCAGAATTTTTTGAGTACTTAGTAGTGTCTTTCCTAGTTAGTGTAACTTTATCTTGGGGGGGGGAATAATTATTAATTTCATTTAAATAGGAGGCAGAATTACTGATTGCAAGGAAGATTCATCCTCAGACCATCATTGCAGGCTGGAGAGCAGCCACAAAGGCTTCAAGAGAGGCACTTCTGAAAGCAGCTGTGGATCATGGGTTAGTAATGTCCATGTGCTGTAACTCTTTATAAAAAACTACTCAAGATCAAAACACCAATGAGGATTATAGACTACTGGTAAATTCTGTCCTCTCTTTAAAGTAGTACAAAGGTTGAGTTAATGAATTTTAACGGTTAAGAAAAAAATACTGCCTTTTTTCAGGTGAATTATAGAAGCTTTATGATATTATTTAAAATACTTATGATGTGCATGAACAAAATACGAGCAATAATTTACTCCCTGGAACAAAAATCTGAGCTGTTATTTCAGACTTCATAGTTGGATTTTTAAATGTGACTATTTTCCTTGCCTTACACTTTGAGAGCGCAGACTTTCTAAAACTGAGTGCAAAAGTTCTCCTAATGGAACTCGTATTTCAAATAGGTTAGATTGTGGGACAGTGGAGGGTTTCTCTGCAGCATTCCTCAAAACAGAGCATGGTACATGCAGATACAGGCTAGAAGAAGTGGGCAGAGGCTCTCAGGGGTAGCTAATGATAGTAAGGCTTTCAGACTTTCCAGTTTAACTAAACTGTCTTTATTTTAGTAATGATGAAGTGAAGTTCCGTGAAGACTTGATGAACATTGCGGGAACAACTCTTTCATCAAAATTACTTACTCACCATAAGGACCACTTTGTCAAGCTAGCTGTAGAAGCTGTTCTTAGGTTGAAAGGTTCTGGTAATTTGGAGGCTATCCATGTCATTAAGAAACTTGGTGGAAGTTTGGCTGATTCCTACTTAGACGAAGGTAAGTCTTTGTATGTTGACTGTATGTGCATTCGAGAAATAAAGCTGTTAAAAGTTGCACATCTCTGTGCAAATTTGTCCTAGGAAACATTGTTACATTATTATTAAGACAAATACTAAATATGAGGGGATTTTGTAGTAATTTAAATGAATTGTTCTCCTTTTTCAATCTGAAGTCTTACAAGACCTTTCTGTTACTACAGGCTTTTTGCTTGACAAGAAGATTGGTGTAAATCAGCCAAAAAGAATTGAAAATGCAAAGATTCTTATTGCAAATACTGGTATGGATACAGACAAGATTAAGGTATGTGACAGAACCACTGTTGTATAACTATGTTCTTGTAAATGAAATTTTGAGGCTGAACTCTGTTTTCCTTGATGTAGATTTTTGGCTCTCGCGTTAGAGTGGACTCTACAGCGAAAGTGGCAGAAATAGAACAGGCAGAAAAAGAGAAAATGAAGGAGAAGGTAGAACGTATTCTTAAACATGGGATTAACTGCTTTATTAACAGGTATGTGTTTCTTGGGAAAAGGAGAGAGTTACAAAGTAGCAATATTTTAGTATTGTACTAGTGTGAAGAACATTATTTATTCCTGTGTCTAGTATTATGTGCTCTTGCCTAGTGTTTGAGTCACCTGGCTGACACCAATGCTATTTTCTGTGCTTCCCCTTCTGCACCATGGTCCCGCCTCTTTTTGTTTGTTTTAGTTTTGTTTTGTTTTAAAGAGGAAGAACTGATAATATTTATTCCAGGAGCCATGTTTACATCCAGTGGAAGCAAAGTCACTTTGCTTTATACTAACAGATTTGTTTAGTTATGAATGCCAGCAGTGTTGTTGGTAACCCATGTGCCCCCTTCTGGGGGGAAATTGCTGCTAAAAGAGTTTGTGCTGCTCAATGCATTTAGTTCAGATTAAACCTGCTATGCTTTTTCCTGCATTAAAATGCAGGTGCTGGAGGACTGCTCCAAGTTCAGGAGGGTTTGGGACGTGTCTGTGACCCTGTTGTGGACCTTTTCTTTTACACACATCTTTGAAAGTATGAAAGATAACCATTTTCATATCTAGGTTACTTTTCTTTGTTAGCATTGTGCTGTTCTCTTGAACTGTCACAGTGCAAAACTCCATTTTTTTAATGATGAAAAACACTTCTGCCTTTCAGTAATTCTCATTTTAGTGAAACTACCATAGGTTGCAAGCAATTTGATACCTGCTGGTTCAGCACATCATGTAGTCTACTGGGAAGCTGATCAGCTAGTACTACACCACAGGGTAGGAGTTGTAAGAGTAGCACTGTTTTCCACAGCAGCAAAAGACTGCACTCTGAGTGCATAGTGCATCATCTAACTCACCTTGAAAATTTGTGTTAGACATCTGTAAGAATGATGAATCTCTTAGTCCCTCCATGTATGTCTTCACATGTATTGTGTTCTAGTACAGGCAAAATGAGCACTCTGTCGAGTGAACATGGTACAGATACAGAGTCCAAGAGTCAGGAGTTCTGTTGTCAAATTGATGGAAGAGTCCTTTGAATTATGCAAAAAATATAAATGCGTAACTCCATCACTGACACAGGTAGTTGTTCTAAGGAAGCTCATGTTGCCAGGCTAGGGGTATTGCAGTTAGATTGATGCTTAACTTTCAGATTTATTCCTGGGTAAAATTGACTTCTGCTTATAGGCATGTAGATCGACTTCTTGTACTGTAGATGTTAGCCAGGTAAATTGTGCTGAGGAGATGCTTGACAAAGGTCAAGGCCACATGCATCCAGAGTAGGAAGAATCTTCTCTGTGTACACCCAGCAGCACCAGTTGTCTGTTTTGAAGATAGATTAGAAACATCCTTTTTTTGATGGAAATGGCTTCTCCCAGCTCCTGCTGAATCTCTGCAACACTCAATCTCTAATTTGGAAGGGAAAAATAATTTGGCATAGCACTCCTGAATGGTCATTAACCATTCAGCTTTGGGTGACTTCATTCTAGAGAGAGTTGTACACATATTAATAAGGGAACATGTTATTCTAGTACACCCTGCTAGAATAGGCACTTAGGATCAAAGGACTTAGAACTTCAAGCACGTGGCTCCTTGTGCTTAGTGTGATAGTGTTTCTTCAGGGGAAGGGTATTTCAAAAAGTATCATAGTTTGAATTAATTTTTTTGGATTTAGTTTTGTATGTTTTCCTGTCACTGTGTTTACTTCTGTGTGGTGTAACATTCTGTGTGTGGCAGGTGCCTCATACATTGACTGCTTTTGTAGCTTTCAGAAATCTACCCCATGTCCATGCTTCTGAGAATCTGGTGTCCTTGTTACTCTGGTATTTTAGAAGGTTTGTTCTGTGTGTAACAGAGAAACTTGTTTTAATTGCAGACAGTTGATCTACAACTACCCTGAGCAACTCTTTGGAGCTGCTGGTGTCATGGCTATTGAACATGCAGACTTTGCTGGTGTGGAACGTCTGGCTCTTGTCACAGGTGTGTAGAGTATCTTGTCGTGTGAAACTTGGAGGGTCATGTTATTTGTTTGATCTTTAGTAAATGTTAAATGTACTTAAACATACTTTTTTTTTCCCCAGCATCTGTAAATAAAGGATCATAATGCTGTGAGATATAATTTAGCAAGTTAGTGTCAGTTATTAATTTTCTTTCATATTTTAAAAATATTAAGTCCCTGCTTGATAAGCTTTTGAAATGTTTGTTTTCTAGAGAAAAGATGAAACTTAGCAATAGAAAGAATTAGATGATGACTCCACAAATTAGCACTAGTTTTTGATTCAATAATGCCATCTTGTCCAGAATGGCTGTTTTTTTTATTATAATGATAGAGAAGACTAAAGAGTCACCCTTTGTTAAAAATGTGGGCCTGAGTCAATGACTTGAGGTGGACCTCAAATGACAGGAACAGCCTGGATATTTTGAGTGGTGTTCAGTGTAAATGTGATTCTAGTAACTAATGAAAATTAAACATCTGGAATGCTTCAGTTGGTTGTCATTGCTGAAGTTAGAGATAGCTAACTGGAATGTCATAAAAAGTTGATTGTGAAAGTGATGAGGAGGATGGAGAATTGCTTTGCAGGGAGAAAGGAAAAGACACTGACTTGTTTAGCTTTGCAAAACTGAAGTAGCAATTGTGTATAACTGTCTGTAGGCACATTGACACAGGCAAACGCTTGATTAGAGGAACATTGCTTATATTCTGGAACAAATTCAAACCAAATTTTGTAGGCCATGGTGGATCAAATAGTATAGCTAAAAAACCAAATTTTTAATAAGCACAAACTCTACTACAAATCTTGTTTTTTCTTGTACTGCTACAACTACAGCTGTGCTGCAAGTTAACATGGAATAATTGAGCATGCATGGGGAATGCATACATGTAAATAGTTTTTTAATAGAAAGATTAAAGTATTAGAACAGTAATCTCTTCAGAGACGTTTTGGTCTTTGTAGTACCTGTTTTGCTTACAGTATGGCAGTTTACAAGTTGTGTACAACGTTGCTGCTACAGCGTGGCATGAGACTTGTGATTCGGGAGAGTGGTGGCCACTGGTTCTCAGCCATCAGGCAGGCAAAATGAATACTGTCACAAGCTCAAGTTTTAAAGCATAAGAAACTTGGTTTAGTATTTGCTAAGTACTTTATCAATAAATACTATGAAAACTTGAAAAATACTGACATTTTAATTTAGCAAAGATGAACATTTAGTGTCTTATCCAGACAGAACTCAAAAGCATTGTAGTCCTTGTGATGTGAAACAACACATTGATGTTTTGAGGATTTATCAGCATTGGTTGATGGTTTCCGGTCCCATATGCTGACATAAGAAAGTTTTGGCTTATTGGTATTTTTAATTTAAATTTATTTGGGGGCAATTACGAGGGTGGTTTTTTTTCAAACAGCACCCCCGGTTAGACCTTGTCTGAACAGATGCTTTTATTGTGAGCTCTGATTTCTATATGGTCTTATTGTTTGTAGGTGGTGAAATTGCATCAACCTTTGATCACCCTGAGCTAGTAAAACTAGGAAGCTGCAAGCTTATTGAAGAAGTCATGATTGGAGAAGATAAACTCATTCATTTCTCTGGAGTAGCAATGGGTAAGTGTTTAATCACTAATGACATGTTGTAACCTTTGTGTTAACCCTCTGCTAACGCTATTCAGTTACCAGTGGGGCATAGGAATTTTGTAATAATTCATGTAACCATTTTTATTAAAACCTTGCTCTCCAGTAAAAATCTCATAAAGACATATTGTTCATGGTTGAAACTGTGTATGTTTAGTGTTATGTAAGTGAACATAACCATTTGTAAGGATGGGAACCAAGACTTTGGCTTTGGGAGGTTAAATTTACAAGAAAAGTAGCAACATGTTGCACTTTAAGAACTTGGGAGCTTGTTCTAGTAAATGCCAATACTGTAAGTTTTCACGGGTTGTTTTGAGGCAATATTAATTTTCTGTTAATAGCATAGTGTACATAATTTGATTCTATCTGTGAAATGTCATCATACTTTCTTTTCCTCGCAAAATTAAGTGATATAAAACTTTACTATAGTGATAGCAAAACCTTTAAAAATGCTTTGTGATAGCCTCTTTATGTGTATGTGGTTTCTTTTTTTAAACCTTTTTGTGTTTGTGCTTTCTAGGTGAAGCTTGCACCATAGTTTTGCGTGGGGCAACACAGCAGATTCTAGATGAAGCAGAGAGGTCTTTGCATGATGCTCTCTGTGTTCTTGCCCAGACTGTGAAGGACACTCGAACTGTGTATGGTGGAGGTGAATATTACATTCTTTATACTTGGTACATGATACATATTTCATGTTACTGTTCATCAGATATGTAACATCTGTGTGTCTTCAATAAATAGGTTGTTCAGAGATGCTGATGGCTAATGCTGTTGCAGAACTTGCTGTCAGAACACCTGGCAAAGAGTCTGTTGCAATGGAGTCCTTTGCTAAGGCTTTACGAATGGTGAGTTTATTTAATCAGATTGCTGGATTAAGAGACAAAGTTTCACAAAATATACTAATTTATGACATCAGATAGTTGCTTCACTTTAAAAATTTTGTTTGTTAGAATAAAAAATGAAGTTTAGCAACACATCTTGGATGAACAAAGGAGGAAAAGTTGTTTTCTGTCTTAGAGAAAAAGTACTGGTATTTTAATTGTTCTACATGTTACAGTATGGTGAATGTTCATATGCTAGCCTTTCTCTAATTGGTTTTTGCTCCTCTTACCTGCAAGCTAAAAGTGCTTCAGAAATAGCACATAAAAATCTCATCTTATTTAGTTGACATCTGATTTAGAAAAGAGCAACTCTTCTGTTCCATTAGTGCTCTACAGCTATTTGGGTGTATTCATACTCTAGTACTATCTAGAAACTTCTAGGCTTGCATTAGAGATTGCATCTTAGTAGGAAATAAGAGTGTCATAAGAAACATTTATAGAATTGTGCTATTTGAGAACAAATTGCCTTCCTGTTATTTAGGGAAATTTTTAGGGAAAACCTTTCTTAGGAAATGAAAGACTATAGGAAAACATTTCTACCAAGAAAATAAAATTCAAGAGCATGGTAACACTTGACGTTACTTCTTCAGTCAGCATGTGCAAGTTTGCACTGCTGTCACT